TGGCCGTGATAGCCTTCGACAACACATTTATTTTTTATTTATTTTATTTAAAGCCCTCCCTCCCCGCAAGCAGGCTCAGGGCTGGTCACAAGTCACATAAAACACCATGATTAATAGACAATAGATCAGGTTCCGACTATATGACAAGTTTAGGCAGTTAAAATTTAGTACCAAAAAACCAGGGTGAAAAGTTGCCTCGGTAGTGACACTCGGATAGAGCCTCCCGAGCCATGTTGTTGGATATCAAGCCACTAAAACCACAAGACTGTCACCAAAGGAGGCCAGGAATAGAGATTTGGATATCTGTGGCCTCAACTGAAATGAGTCAGTCTCTGGATGATTAATAACAGGTACTGCTGAAAGGGACTGCTCGGGCAAGAGCTCCTCTTCTTCTCAGGCTGAATTTTACTTCAAATGCTAATTTGATTTCAAATGTTAATTTAGCCCTTCTAGGCTTGGATTGAACAGGACTCTAGCTGAATCGCCTCAGCAGTTACAGGAGGTATGTGACTGCTTGGTTTCTTGTAGGGCAAAAAAACCCCACCCTTTAATGACTGTGAGAATTAGCTTAAAATTTTAGATTTTGTTTAAAATTGAACCCCCTGTTTTTTTTAAAGCCCTAGCTGTATTTAAACCCTAGCTGCACTTTGTTTTGTTATTTGTTTTCCTTTTTCTGTCACAAAAACCTGCCTATGGTTTAGCCTTATCTCTGAACTCACTATCCCTAGTCTCTGGTATTAGTACTTTAATCTACAGGTGCAATAAAGTTTCAAAGTGATGTTAGAATTTAAATTGGCCCTGTGCTCTCAGTTTTAATCCTTGTCCTTTGTTTGACCCTCTGTTTAACCCTTCCCATACTCCAATAAAACCAGGCAAGAACCTCTGAGCCTGCTTAGAACTAAAATTAACTACACCTGAGTCAGGCAGGCTTCCCAAGTACTTATCGTGATTTGGCGGGGGACAAAGACATCTTCGCAGGATCATTCCTGCAGGGATAACAGACATGCTGCACCATGCTGTCGCCAGGAGGTGACGCCGGGTGACACTCTGGCAATGGGGCCAGAAACTCAATGGTACCATCGAGTTTTCAGCCCCATTGCCAGAGCGTCGCCCAGTGTCATTTCCTGGTGGCGGCATGGTACGTTACAAGGAGAAATGTTCCGGCCGGGGAGCATGTGTCCGCTGCCGGATTGAGGTAAATACTTGACAACCCTAACCTGAGTAGTTTGAGCAGCTACAACCAAACTAAAATTAGAACTAGACCAGAACAGGGCTAAAAATTATCTACACCTGAGTGGTTTGCACAGCTACAACACTGAGAAGTTACAAAATGTTGGTACCTAAAGGTATCATTAACTATTTGTCCTCATTACTGTTTTAACCCTTTTCACTTAGCCTATCTTGATATAATTTTATATTAAAACTATGTAAAACATGCCACTTACCCTTTCCTCGCATGTCTGCTAAACTTGGCTGTTTAGTCCCCTGTTCCAGACACTTCATCACTGGAGTGAGGCATGCTACCTTGCAGAGATTACGGAGAATCAGTTGGATGGATGGATGGATAGATGGATAGATGGATGGTGTAACGATTCCTTGTTTATGGGTGTGTGTCTCTTTAAAAGTTTGGTTGCATGTGATAGTCTAGAGTGCTTGAAGAGGCAAGTGTGGTGTGATTGGTGAGTGACAGAGAGGGGGAGGGGTTTTGGAAGTGATGCTGTGTGGATGAATATGTATGTCTATCAGGAGTGACAGTTTGAGGTTTTGACAGCTGTAGGGTGACAGTTGATGAGGACAGTTAAAAACAGTTAGAGTTCTGAAGTTGGAGAGAGAAGCTGTCTTGTGGATGATATAGAAATTAGTTCTGCGTATGAAGAAGAGTTGAATGTATATGAAAGAAGAAAGTAAAGTTAAAGAGAAAAATAAAAAGTCTGAGTGACAGGATAAAAAGAAACAGTAAACATATATGGCCTAAGGAAAAAAGTGTTACAAAGTTACATGCCAAAATCCCTGACAGTGAGAGAGAAAAGAGTGTGAAAAACCAGTTGGAATTGTTCAGTATTTACCCATTCCTAGA